GAATGCGCGCACTGCCTCCTGTGAGCTGCTGCTGCTGCTGCTGCTGCTGCTGCTGCTGCACGTGCAGCAGGTGGTGCTGCACGAGCGCTGCTGCTGGAGCGGCTGCCGCACTAGCTCTTGCTGCTGCTGGAGCCGCTGCTGCACTAGCTGCCGCTGGAAAGGCTGCTGCATGAGCTGCTGCTGCTGCTGGAGCTGCTGCTGCACTAGTTGCTGTGGCTGCTGCTGCTCTGGGCTGTTGTCTTTGCGGCTGCGTGCAGCTGCTGCGGGCTGCTGCATTTGCTGCTGCCTCACGCTGCTGCTGCTGTTCCTGCTGCGGCTCGAAGCGCAGCGCCCCTCACCTCTTCCCTCCGCCTGCCGCTGCTGCTGCCGCTGCTGCTGCTGCTGCTGCTGCTGCTGCTGCAGGCGGCAGGACCACCACTGCATGTGGGTGGACAACTGCATTGCTGCTGGAAACACTCGCCAGTTTGTTTGCTTTTTGACTTTCTTGTCTCTTTCAATTGTCTCCTTTTCTTCGCTGGCCTGGCAGTACGCAGCGCAGGCCATCACCCAGCCGTCTCAATGGGTGAGGGTTTAGGGTTTAGGGTTTAGGGTTTGGGGTTTAGGGTTTGGAGTTCTCGCTGCGGCGCGACGGCTCCGCACGCCCTGGGGCTTGCAGATACCTTACATGCATGCGGATGCCCTGCCTTCTCTTGCTCAGGGTTTAGGGTTTAGGGTTTAGGGTTTGTGTGCAGCTGTGGCTGCTGCTGACTCTGGCCCTGGGGGCCTCCAACCTCGCGTGGCTTTTCTTTGCTGTTTATTTACTCCTCCGTACTGGCCGCAGCATTCTCTCCAATGTGACTTACTTCGAATTCCTCAAGAAGTAAACCCTAAACCCTAAACCCTAACCGCTAAACCCTAAGCCCTAGAGCAAAGGCATTAAACGCGCGTTCACCAGCTGTTCTCCAGGCTCACAAACCCTCAGCCTTTGTCCCGCGCTGCCAGGGACTTCATTTAGGGTTTAGCATTCACTGATGATGTCTTAGGGTCTAGGGTTTAGGGTTTAGGGTCTAGGGTTTAGGGTTTAGGGTTTGCGGTTTCCAGGCCGCCGCATATCGTGCGGCGTTTCAAAGGAAGAACAGAAGGATGGTTGTGGGATCTCACGGGCGTCTCGTTACCCACTATGATTAAGTACGTTGAGGGTTTAGGGTTCAGGGTTTAGGGTTTAGGGTTTAGGGTTTAGGGTTTAGGAATAAGGGTTTAGGGCGAGGGCCCCTCCGCCTCAGCCTTGCGCCTACGTCCTCAGTGAACACAGGCAACAGGCGTAGCAGCAGCAGGAGCTTGCTGCAGCAGCAGCAGCTTGCAGCAGCAGCAGCAGCAGCAACAAGTGCAGCAGGAGCAGCAGTTGCTGCCTCTGCTTCAACGCCCTCCTTCACTTTCCCTCCTACTCTCTAGAGCGCCTCTCCTCTGTACGAAAGTCCCCAAAATATTCAGGGTTTAGGGTTTAGGGTTAAGGGTTTAGGGTTTGGCTTCAGGAACGTGTTCTGGTTCTGGAGGAATTCGCCGAAGCTAGATGAGGTGTACATACATCCCAACGACGGACCTGCTTCGGAGCTCCCTGAGGCAAGTGCCAAACCCTAAACCCTAAACCCTAAACCCTAAACCTTAAAAACTAAACCCTAGTGCCTCAGCGCCTTTGCTGCCTCACGAACTTGCTGCGCTGCTGCATTGGCGGTCTCTGCGCCTCCAGCTGCCTGCCCAGGCCCCGGATCTAGGGTTTAGGGTTTAAGGCTTAGGGTATAGGGTTTAGGGTTTAGGGTTTGCTGCTGCAGGTCTATGACCCCAAATTGTCTTCTCGCTCCTACCTATCCCAGCCGGGGCTCTTCAGTGCAGAAAGGCTCCTGGGGGGCCCCCCAGGGTCTAGGCCTGGGAGAGGGGGGCCCCCCTGACCAGGGGGGCCCCCCTGACCCATGGGGGCCCCCCTGACCCATGGGGGCCCCCTGACCCATGAGGGCGCCCCTGCTGTGCCCTCTGTCCCGGGGGGCCCCCTGAAAAGGCTGGACTTTGAGGGGCCCCCGCATGCAATTCACAGGGGGGCCCCCTGCATGAAACTTAGTAATGGGGCCCCCTACATGCATATTTTCTCGTGGGGGGCCCTCTCAGGTCAAGTGCCTCTGGGGGCCCCCTGCATGCAATTTATTTATGGGGTCCCCCCTGCATGCAGTCTATTTACGGGGCCCCTCTGCATGCAATTTATTTATGGGGCCCCCCTGCATGCAATTTATTTTTAAGGGCTCCGCAGCTGCCCAGGTGAGAAGACAATTTTGAAACTTGGGGGCCCCTAAGGGCCCCAAAGGGGCCCCATGTGGGGCCCCTGAGGGGCCCCCTTGGGGCCCCGCAGGGGCCCCACAGGGGGCTCGCAAGGTCTAAATAGGGACTCTATAGGGGCCCCCTGGGGGCCCCCAAAGAGCCAACTAGGGAAACTTTTGGGGGTCTTTTCAGAGGCTAGAAAAGAGCTCCAGTGCGGACTCCCAAAGGGCCAATATAGGGCCCCTAAGGGCGCCTTGGGGGCCCCCCGGTGGGCCCCCGGAGGGCCCCAGGGGCCTACCAGAGGCCCCCAGGGGGCCCTAGGGGGCCCCCCCGGGGGCTCCTTGGGGGCGTTCAAGGTCACTTAAGGGGCAGATGTCCGTCATTTTGGCTTAGCCTTGCTTGGCCCTGCTCTTCAGATTTTGCTCTGGTGGGATGCAGCTGGCTAGCTAGCCAGCTAGCCAGCTAGCTAGCTGGCTAGCTAGCTAGCTGGCCAGCTGGCGGCCTTCGTCTGGGTAGCTAGGCTGGCTAGCTAGCCGAGGCAGCAGCTAGCTGGCCGGCGAAGAGCTAGCTAGCTGGACCGACGCAGCTAGCTGCGAACCCTCAGAGCAAGCTGCGGCCCCACAGCTTGGCTAGCTGCAGCTAGCTAGCCAGCCAGCTAGCTAGCCAGGTATTTAGCTAGCCAGCTAGCTAGCTAGAAAGCCCACACCTTTCTTGTTCAGCGACCGACCCAGAGAGAGGCCTTAATCCTCCCAAGTTATGTGCCGCCTGCTGAGGGCTGCTGCGAGCCAAACCCTAAACCCTAAACCCTAAACCCTTGAGTGTCTGGCGCTGCAGCTTCTTCCATTTAGTGGGGTTCAGCCTTGCTGCTGCTGCAGCGCGCAAAGCCGGCAGGCCCGGGATCGTGTGGGATCGTCTCAGGGGATCGATCCCAGATCGATCCCAATAGTTAAGCTGCAGCCCCAAAGGCGCCCGTTGTGGCTCAGCTAGCTAGCTAGCTAGCTAGCAACAGCAGCAGCTGCAGCAGCGAGCTAGCCACGGCCATCTAGCCATGGCTAGCTAGCTACTGCCAGCTAGCCACACCAGGTGGCTAGCTGGAGGCAGCCCAGGCCAACTAGCTCTAGCTAGCCACAGCTAGCCGCGGCTAGATAGCCGCAGCTAGCTAGCCACAGTTAGCTGCGGCTAGCCATGTTCAGCTAGCTGCGGTTAGTTAGCTAGCCAACAAGGAAGCGCTGCTGCACTTGAGGCTAAACCCTAAACCCTAAAGATAGAGATATAGAGGCAATTTGGAGCTGCTGCTTCTGAAACAACTGCCGCTAAACCCTAAACCCTAAACACAATACGCTAAACCCTTGACTGCAGCAAAAGATCGACTGAGGCGCATGCAGCCCCACGGCCCGCCAGTCAGCGCAGGTCTCTGATCCAGGGTTTAGGGTTTAGGGTTTAAATTTTAGGATTTGGAGATCCCAACTTAAATCTAGACTTCAGAATGATTAACCCAGCTTGAGGTGCATAGACATCTCGAGGGAGCTCGCTGCGTGCACAAGCGGATCATGTTCTTACGGTCCAGGGTTTACCATTTAGGGTTTAGGGTTTAAGTTTTAGGGTTTAGGGTTTAGGGTTTAGGGTTCAGGGTTTATTTCAATCTCCCCCTGCTCCAGCAGGAGCGTATAACACTAAGCAAGCCGTGGGCAGGGGTGCTGCTTGGGCTGTAGGAACGCCGGAGCAACAGCAGCAGCAGCAGCAGCAGCTTCTTCTGCTGCCAGCGTCTGCTGCTGCCGCTGCTGCATATGCAGCAAGCCCTTTCCCCAGCCCTATCTGGGCAGCACTGAACAGCAGCAGCAGCAGCAGCAGGTGCTGCTGCTGCTACTGGGCGTGCTGGGCCCAACTACAGAAGATGTTCGTGCTGCAGTCCCTACCCTGCAGAAGCTGCTCCTGTGCATCAGCAGCAGCAGCAACAGCAGCAGCAACAGCAGCAGCAAGTGCAGCAGCAGCAGCAGGTGGTCTGCCTGAGCAGCCGACTTTCTTTCAATATGTGAACGCGGGAGTCTCTACACAGCCGCCACTGCAGCAGCAGCAGCTGCAGCCGCGGCTGCAGCAGCAGCAGCTGCTGCTGCCGCTGCTGGGGCTTCCGTTTGCTGCTGCAGCTCGCCGGCTGCTGCGGCACCGCGTGTCGCAGTCAGCAGCAGAAGCTGCTGCAGCAGACAACCCTGCGCTGTACAGACACTGGCCCCACCTGCTGCTGTACGCCCCCCCGCTCCCCGCCGGCGCAGCAGCCAGCAGCAGCAGCAGCAGCAGCAGCAGCAGGCGGGACCAGCCGCCGGAGGTGCTGGCAGCAGCAGAAGAGCAGCTGCTGCTGCGCGGCAGCTGGGCGGGGAGGCCCCTGGCGGACACTCCAGCAGCAAATTTAAAGCCCCAAAATAAAAACGCATGCAAAGATTTAATTCATCTTTTGATGCTGCAGGAGGTGAAGAAGCTGCAGAAGGAGAGGACCTTCAGAGTCAGCTGCTGCTGCTGCTGCTGCTGCTGGTAGCAGCTGCGTCTTCTGATAGTAGCTGCTGCTGCTGCGGGTAGCATTTGCTTCTGCGGATAGTAGCTGCTGCTGCTGCTGCCACTTCTGCCCGTAGTAGTACTTGGTGCCGCTGCTATTTATCGTAACTCCCAGTTAGCAAGTTGCTGCTGCTGCTGCTGCTGCTGCTGTTAGTACTTAGAGTTGCCGCTGCAGCTGCGCTGAGCCATCTTACGGGCTGCTGCTGCTGCTAGTTCTGCTGTGGCTGCTGCTTAGCCCGCCTTAGCTAAGCGCTGCTGCTGCTGCTGCTATTGCTGCTGCTGCTGCTGCAGCTGCCGCATTTTGGCCCTGGAGATTTAGTCGAAGTGCAATACGAGTTAAGTCGCTCGCAGCAAACCGTCGCCACTTTTCAGGGTGAGCTGAAGTTCCAAGGGTTTAGGGTTTAGGGTTTGGGGTTTAGGATTTAGGGTTTAGGGTTTAGGTTTAAGGGTTTAGGGTTTACGGTTTGCTGTTGGCCGAAGCGCTGCTTCTCTGCTTGCCCTGCTTTCTCTTTCTATCTCCTCAAACCTTAAACCCTAGCTTGCGTAAACCCTGAACCCTAGCTTTCCTAAACCCTAAACTGTAGCATTCCTAGACCCTAAACCCTAGCGTTTCTAAACGCTAAAGACGAGCCGCCTGAACCCTAAACCCTTGCCCGCTTAAACCCTAAACCCTTGCCGGCTTAAACCCTAGATCCTAGCTCGCTTAAACCCTAAACCCTTGTCCGCTCAAATCCTAAACCCTAGCTGGCCCAAACTGAAAGCCCCCGCCCGCCTCAAGCCCAGGCCGTGGGCCCCCCAGCCCTGGCCCCCCCAAACCCTAAACCCTAAACCCTAAACCCTTTTTGCTGCAGGGTACGTGGTGAGCGTGCGGCAGCGGTCTTTGAACTCTTCGGTGGTGCTTCGAAATGGAGTTAAAGGAGTTGCTGTGGAGCAGCGGATTCCTCTGTTCTCCCCGCGGCTGCTGTCTTTCAAGGTACTGCAGCAGCAGCAGCAGCAGCAGCAGCAGGATGGGGCGGGGGGATGGAGGGGGAGAGCTGGACGCTTCTTTGGTTCGCAGCGGGGGAGCAGCAGCAGCTGCTGCCTGTTGTTTAGGGTTTAGGGTTTAGGATTTGAGCAAAAGGGTTTAGGGTTTGCGAGTTCAGCCTCTTCTGCTGGCGCAGCAGCAGCAGCTGCTGCTGCTGCTGCTGCGGCAGCAGCAGTTGGGTTTTTTCACAAGACCACCACATCTTGCTGCCTCTGCCTTACATCCCGCCTCCCCTCGCTGCTGCTGCTGCTGCTGCTGCCCCTGCTGCTGCTCCTGCTGCTGCTGCAGGTGCTGCGCAGCGCAAGCAGCCCCAGCCAGGCCTTCGTGGCTTCGCCGCCGCCGCCGCCCACGAGAGACTACAGGTACAAGTGGAAGTACAATGTGCGTGGGAAGTATGAGCGGCGGCGTGGGACGCACAAACCTGGTGGGTTTTCCGTTTCTTTTTCCCCTTTTTGCTCTTAAAATGTAATTAATTTTACCTTTAAATGCATTCATAAGTGTTTAATTGAAAACGGGAGAAAAAACGCCTCAAACGGCGCAAAAAACGCAGCTTTTTGAGGGGGTCTTTCTCGGGTGTACGCACACCTGAATTCCCGGCCGTGTGCATGAGCCGCATCTGAAAAGCCATTTTTTTAATTTCTTTTTGAGATAACTGGTGGAGTGTAAACACAATTAAATATATTATAATTAAGTGGAATTAAATCCAATCAAATGCAATTAAATGCACTTTTACACGCTACTAATGGGCTAATCTTGGGCAGAAGTACACCTGAAGAAGCAACAACAAAAAGCAGCAGCAGCAAACACGCGGATATGAGGTAGCCAGACACGCAGAGGCCAGCAGCAGCAAAAGAGCCGCTGAGACGAAGCTGCTGCTGCTGCTACACTGCTGCTGCTGATGCCTCTCTTGCTGCTTGTGCTGCCGCCACACTGCTCATGCCGCCGCCGCCGCTGCTGCTGCTGCTGCTGCTGCTGCTGCTGCTGCTGCTGCAGGCGTGCGGACTGTGGAGCACCGGCTGCGGTCCCGCGTGTCTTCGCTGCTGCACCGCTACATGCGGCAGCGGCTTGCTGCTAATCTGCCGCCTTATGTTTGGGGGGGCCCTTACCCCCGCCTGCGGGAGAAAAGGACAAAAGAGATCCGCGGCGAACTCTACAGGAGAATGCTCGTCTACTCCTTCGTGCGCTGCTGCCGCTGCTGCTGCTGCTGATGCTGCGGCTGCTGCTGCTGCTGGGGTTGCTGCTGCTGCTGGCGTTTGACGCTCCTGCTGCTTCTGCTGTTGCTGCTGCTGCTGCTGCTAGTCCTCCTGCTGCTGCTGTGGCCGCTGCTGTTGCTGTTGCTTCTGCTGCTGCTCGTGTTGGTGCTGCTGCTGCTTTGCTGTTGCAGTCAGGCGGGTGCAGCTCATGCTGCTACTGCTGCGACAGCACTGTGACCTTCCCTGCTGCTGTTACTGTGGCCTGCGTGCTAGTTCAGCTGCTGCTGCTGGACTTGCTGAAAGGTTTCTGCTAAGCACTTTTTGCTGCTCAGAGCAGCATCAACAGCTGCTGCTGCTTGTGCTGCTGCTGCTGCTGCTGCTGCAGGATGAACAGCGGCGGAGACAGGAGCGGCTACGCAAACGTCGGGAGAGCCACAAGTTTGGGGTGTACAAGGTGGGGCCCCAAACTGCTACTGCTGCTGCTGCTGCTGCTGCTGCTGCTGCTGCTGCTTGCGTGGTGTTCCTTTGGCTGCTGCTGCTGACTCTACTGCTTGCACCGCCACACTGCAGCTTTTCCTGCTTGTCATTCTGCTGTTGCTGCTGCTGCTGCTGTTGCTGCTGCTGCAGCTGAGGAGACAACGCGCGACCGCCCTGGAGGTTCTGCCGCCAGACCATCCGCTGCATCCGTCTAAAGACCCCCCCCTGACCTGAGCAGCAGCAGCAGCAGCAGCAGCAGCAGCAGCAGCAGCAGCAGCGGCAGCAGCAGCAGCAGCCGCAGCAACGTCAGCACAATGTTGTCGCTAAGCCATGGATAACGGCAACAGCAGCAAAGAGTAGCGAGAGCTAGCGAGGACAACAGCAGCAGCACTTGCTGCAGCTGCTGCTGCTGCGAGAGAGATGCTGCAGCAGCTGCAGCGGCGCTGAAAGAAGTTGTTGCCGCTGCAGCTTCGGGTGCGGCTGCTGCTGCAGCAGAGCTACTGCTGCAGCAGAGCTACTGCTGCAGCAGAGCGTGCTCCTGCAGCAGTGCTGCAGCAGAGTCTGCTGCTGCAGCAGAGCCTTCATTGACTTGCTGCCTGCTGATTTGCTGCAGCTGATGGGACTAAGTATGTTCCTACAACAGCAGCTTGCTGCGATCATTTGACCAGTCTGCGTGTAGGTCCTGCTGTTGCTGCTGCTGCTGCTGTTTCTAGGTGTTTGCTGTGTCCAGTTGACTTAAACGGAGGTTCTGGTGCGTGTCCGTACGCCCCAGCGGCAGCAGCAGCTGCTGTTTCTGCACGTGCAGCAGCAGCTGCTGCTGGTGCACGTGCAGAAACAGCAGCAGCAGAAGCAGCAGCAGAAGCAGAGAGACTTTGTTAGTAGCTGCAGACCTTAGTGAGCTTGAAGCAGCAGACACTGGCCAGTTTCGTCTGCTTCTCCAGCAGCTCAAGTTGCGCTGCTGCAAACAGCAGCTGCCGCTGCAGCTGCTGCTGCAGCTGCTGCTGCAGCTGCTGCTGCAGCTGCTGCTGCAGCTGCTGCTGCAGCTGCTGCTGCAGCTACTGCTGCTGCTGCAGCTACTGCTGCTGCTGCAGCTGCTGCAGCTGCAGCTGCTGCTGCAGCTCAGCTGCAGTTGGAGCGTCTGCAGCAGCTGTTGCAGTTGCTGCAGCTCCTGCTGCTGCAGAGCATGCGCAGCGCCCTGAAGCAGCAGCAGACTCACTGACCCTGCAGCAGAGTTGCTAGTTGCTACTATTGGTGCTACTCAGAGCAGCAACTGCTGCTGCTGTTGCTGCTGCTATGCAGAGCAGCTGTTGTTGATGCTGCTACGCAGAGCGGCAGCTGCTGCTGCTGCATCCCCAGGGCCCTGAGCAGCAGTAGCGGCGGGGCCTGCAGCAGCAGCAGCAGGCCATGCGGCTGCTGCTCAGAAGCAGCAACATCAGTTTCTTTTTGCTGCTACCTTCTTGCTCCTGTGTCTCTACCTCTGCAATTTATAATTCTAAAAGTCTGCTGGTGCGCTGCTCTTCTGCTGCTCTCTTTGCTGCTGCTCAAAAGCGCATTCCCTTAAAAAATGAAGATCCGTTCCATGCACAGCTGCTGCTGCAGCACTTGCTGCAGCTCTTCTTGCAGCTTTTGCTGCAACTCTTGCTGCAAATTTGCTGTAGCTTTTGCTGCAGCTGCTTTTTCGCTGCAATTGCTGCAGCTGTTGCTGCAGCTTCTGCTGCAGCACTTGCTGCAGTTCTTGCTGCAGCTTTTGCCACAGCACTTGATGCAGGAGTTGCTTCCGCTGTTTTCATCTGCTGCTGTTTATCTTTGCTGCTGCAGCATTTAGCTGTAGATGTTGCCCGCAGCAGCAGGTGCAGCAGCAGAAGCAGCAGCTCCCTGCAGCAGCGGCTTCAGCTCCTGGTAAAAGCTTTGGCAAAGGGGGCCCAACCGCTGCAGCAGCAGCAGCAAATATTTGTCGTTGTGTTCCATTTGCTGCACGCTGCGATGTATGGAAACTGCCTGCTGCAGCAGCAAACCTGCTTCTGCGGCTGCAACCTGCGCAGCATACGCGAGGCTCCAGTCTTGCTGCTGCTGCTGCTGCTGCCGCTGCTGCTCTCCTTGCTGCTTCTCGTGCTGCTGCAGCAGCCACTGCGCCTCTGGGAAGTTCTTTAGATCGCTTTTAAACCAGCGATTCAGGACATGGCGGGGAGGCACAGCGACGCGGCACTGCTTCCTCTGCTGCTGCTGCTGCTGCTGCTGCTGCTGCGGTTTCCTGCTGCAGTCCAGCAGCAGCAGCCGGCGCAGGAGCCGCAGGTGCTCCGGCCCCTCGGCCGCGAGCTGCAGCAGCACCCGCTGCACGCAGCTGATCCCTAGCTCATCCTCTTGTGCTTGCTGCTCGTTCCCTGCTGCCTGCTGCTGCTGCTGCTGCTGCTGCTGCTGCTGCTGCTGCTGCTGCTGCTGCTGCTGCTGCTGCTGCTGAGACGGAGGAGCCGTGATGGGGGCGGACCTGCTGCGGAGCTCGGGATTGCTGCTGCCGCTGCTGCTGCACACACTTGCTGCAGCAGGTGTGTCTCTTTCAGCTTGTGCGAGCTGCTGCAGCACAGCTGAGCGCATGTCGATTCTGGCGCTGCTGTTGCTGCCGCTGCTGCTGCTACTACTACTGCTGCTGCTGCTGCTGCTGCTGGCTGTTGGCAGCTGCAGCTGCCGCGGCTGCTCTTGCGGCTGCATCTGCTGCACTACTTGCTGCCGCAGATTCAAGGATACGCTGCTGCTGGACTGTGTAACGCCTTGAGTGGCCTGCTGCTGCTGCTGCTGCTGCTGGATCTGCTGGAGCAGCAGCTGCTGCCTGACCTGACGCTGCAGCAGCTGGCGCTGCTCTCGGCTAGACTGCAGCACCGGCTGCGCGTCTGCTGCTGCGCCCTCAGCAGCAGCAGCAGCAAAGGCAGCAAAAACAGCAACATCAGGGTCGTCTTGCTGCTGCGCGTGCAGCTGCTCCGCTGCTTCTGCTTCCGGGGCCAGGGCCACCCACAGGTTGCTGCTGCAGCGGTGTGCTGCAGCAGCAAGCAGCAGCAGCTGCTGCTGCGCTGCACCCAAGTCGCTCGTCCTTATAGGCGACACTCCTTGGCCCGCCAGTTCCACAGGACTGCCACCCCACACCCGTGCTGCAGCAGCAGCAGTAGCAGCAGCAGGGTGCATGCAACTCCTGCTGCTGCTGCTGCTGCTGCTGCTGCAGACCTGGTCAATGGCAGTCAGCAGCAGCCGCGACAGACGAATCAGCTCCATAGATTGCCACAGAGCCTCTGCAGCCGTAGTGAGGGGGTCAGCAGCAGCTGCTTCTGCTTCTTCTGCTGCTGCTGCTGCTGCGGGTGCTGCTTCTGGCCCTGCTGCTGCTGCACCCCTTATGCCCACTTGCGCACATAAAGGAGGCCAATTGTCTTCGTCGATACTGCTGGCGCTTGCTGCTGTTGCTGTTGCTGCTGCTGCAGTCCCACTTAAAGGAGTGCTGCTGTCTCCCCACGCTGTGTACACCCCATGCTGCTGCTGCTGCAGCTTCTGCTTCTGCAGCTGCTGTTGCTGCTGGTGCTGCTGCTGCTGGTGCTCCTGTAGGTACTGCTGTCGCCACTGCTGCTGCTGCACGTGCGGATAGTAATTCATAGGGTAGCCCTCAGCAGCACCTGGGAAGCCCATGAAGTAGCTGCTGCGGCTGCTGCTGCTGCTGCTGCTACTGCTGTATGCGGCCCTGCTGCTGCTGCTTCTGGGCATGCGTGCTGCTTCCGTTTCTGCTGCTGCATTTGCTGCCGTGGGTGAAGATGCGTAACTCCCACAAGCTGCTGAGCTGTGCTGCTGCTGCTGCTGCGGCTCCTGCTGCGGCTGCTGCTGCGGCTGGTGCTGCGGGCTAGCATGGCTGCTGTGAGGCACGAAGCTGCCGCTGCAGAAAAATGGCTCCCCGCCCCACGTAGCAGCAGCAGCAGCAGCAGCAGCACGCCCTGTTGCTGCTGGTGCAGCCCCACCACCAGGGGATGGCCTCATCGGTAGGCACTACCCTGCAGCCGCATTAGGCAAAGCTGCTGCTGCTGCTGCTGCTGCTACTGCTGCTACTGCTGCTGTTGCAGCACGAGCCGCCTCAGATGGCTTCGTCGCCGCTTCCTTTACTGCTGCTGCTGCTGCTGCCGCCGCCTCTGCGAAACAGCAGGTGGATTTACATCTGCAGCACAGCAGCAGCTGCTGCTGCTGGCTCGGCTGCAGCCGCAGCTCGTCTGGTGGATGTACACCCAAAAGCTGCAGCAGCTGCTGCTCTTGCTGAAGCCGCTGCTCTTGCTGCAGCAGCAGCTGCTGCTGCTGCAGCAACGTTGCTGCAGCTGTCTCTGGAGCTGCTGGTGCAGCCGCTGCTGCTCGAGCAGCAAGGGCTGCAGCTCCTGTGTTATCTTGGGCTCCTATGTCCTAAATTCTAGTCCATAAGCCCTAAACCCTCAACCCGAAACCCTAAACCCTAAACAATCATTCGTAGTGGTCTCAGCAGGACAGAACCCGAGAGGATCCAACTCAAGCGACTCTCGCCAGGAAGGAGTCTTAGGGTTTAGGGTTTAGGGTTTAGGGTTTAGTGCTCAGGGCCTGTGTAGCTGCAAAATGAAGTCAAAAATAATATATTCGTGATTTTTGGTAGACGTCCTGTTGTTGCTGCTGCTGCTGCTGCTGCTCGTGCTCTGGGGGGCCCCCAACTCCTGCTACGAAAGGGGGGCCCCCCTTGCGGGCTTTGCACCGCGCTGCCTCCAAGCTAGTTCATTTATTAAATTACAAATTGAAAACTGTTTTCAAATGAATATTTTGTTTGGTAAAGAACATAAAATTAATCATCTAAACACAGCAAAGCCCCCAGCCGCACGCTGAGTGGAAGCTGCACCGCATTGAGGCGTATGTACACCTCACGCACCTTCCCTCTTTAGTTAAGAAACGCTGCAGCCATTAAATCTAAATTAAACTTTTATCTCTTTTTGAAAAGACTTTATACTTAGCTGCTTCCGTGCTGCTCTGGAGCTACTCTACGCCGCTACTGCGCTTGCTGCTGCTGCGTTTGCTGCTGCTGCGTTTGCTGCTGCTGCTGCCTGTACTGCTGCTGGCGGCTGCTGCTACTGCCTGTAGTGCCTCTGGCCGCTGCTGCAGGCGCTTCTTCGTTTCTGCTGCTGCTCTTCCATTTGCCGCTGCTGCTGCTGCTGCTGCGGTTGCTGCTGCTAGTGTTGCGGCTGTTGCTGCTGGTT